AAAAACTAAATATATATAGAATAATTTTGAATTTTTGGTACGAAAAATGGTCGTCAAGAAAAATTGGGGGCTATGGGTGAAATGGCGGAGATCAACATTTGTACATTTTCATCGTTCTTCGCCCCATGTGAAGGGTTTCATTATTGACTACAGATCGAGCAAAGCTTGAAGTAAATTTTCGCCGACTTCCATGTGAGTTTCTCTGTTGATTGATACTTACAAACTCTACTAATTTCTCTTTCTTTTTACAACCAAACATGTCCTCTGCATTTAGAAAATTGAATAATCGCGAGAAAGAACAGATTGATTTCAATTTCTAAGTCCTTTCTTCTTCAAATCGCAGCTTGAGAGGTGAAAAATCTGACAGGAAATCGAAGGATTTGATGTAAATTTTGATTAAAAGTTGCCGACTCCATTGCCACTGTCACGTCAGAATTTGGATAGGGATTCCAAGCTGTAACCAATTGAGCATTGTCTGGTAATCAAATCTGAACTAAAATCCCCATTATTTTCATATCGTATTCGAAACTAAAATCTGCTCACTCATCATTTTGTTACTTTCAACCATTTCTGTAGAGCTTTGTTTATTCATGTTACTGAAAAATTAGGTTGAGGATCGGTTAATTTAGAGAATCATCTTGAGTTTATAAGTATGAGGCCTTCCGGAGAAATCAAAAGCAAAACCATGACAGCTTACGCTCAAAGTAGACAATATTATACCATTGTAGAGATTCGTGATTCCTAATATAGTATCAAAGCCATGCTCTTAACTTAGCCATGTCAATAGAATCCTCAAATATCGAGTGACTCAAGTGTCGAACAATGGGTGTACTTTGTTCAAGGACTCCAGAGGAGTCAAGCCTTGATTAAGAAGAGGCTGTTCGAGGATTCTGTAAGTTTCGGGGAGGCTCTATAGTGTACTTTGCATCTCCATTGGTTAAGGCCTTTTGGAGAAACCAAAAGCAAAGCCACGAGAGCTTACACTCAAAGTGGACAATATCATACTATTGTGGAGATTCGTGATTCCTAACACACCCATCTAGTTACCAGAAGCCCGATGCGTGTAATTTTTGTCCCATATCAGGTTGGATAAATTTATCCAAAAACTTGTTAGCAGATTGGAAATTTAATGAAGAATTAGGGCTTTTCCAAATTGTGTCTTTAGTGTAAATTAGGTTGATACGGGAATTATGTAAGCTTTTTGTTGGTGGGTGGTGGCCAATATTGATGATCTGATCAGTTTGTTTTTTCTCACTGTCTTCCTAGTTCCCACTATAATTCACACACTATTTTTTTAGAGTCAAGTGGCAATCACAACATGTTTTGCTTTGAAAAGTGTATGAATAGTTTTATCCCACCCATAAGTTCAAATTTAGTTTTAATGTTTCGAACTGTTTCGTTTGTTTGAAGAACCGTCTTCAAACTATTTCTTTGTTTTTCCTTTTAGAACAACTTTTTACAATCATGGTGATGTATGACTGATGAAGGTTAGTGTTTAGGTATCGATTCGAACTACGATTCTCAAATCTTTGATCTAGGATACCTTAGAGATGCAATTATAACCTCGCATCAATTAGAAGTGAAGAAGATCTCGAATGTATAAGCGAGTAAAATATCTCTGATTCGTAGATGATGCTTCTTAGGTAGAGTTCAAAAGCAAAATTTATGAGTTCAAGTCGAAGAGGGGACTCGTTATCCGAGACCATATTTAATCATATTCTAAATATGTCAATTTTCTAAGATGATTTTTGTGTCTTTGGCTCTGTACTTTCACACGAAAATGAAAGTTTAAATTGTGATTCTAAGTCTTTTTCCATGAAAGTTTAGGATCTTGAACAATTGGTTTCTACACCATCCGAAAAAACTAAATCCCTAATCAGACCTGATGACTTTAAAGTATCGAGTTCAACCTTTTGAAAATATAGCAACCCAAGTCCACTTCTAACAGATATTGTTCGCTTTGGTCCATTACATATCGCTCTCAGCCTCACGTTTTTAAAATGCATCTATTAGGGAAAAGTTTCTACACCCTTATAAGGAATGCTTTGTTCCCCTCTCCAACCGATATGGGATCTCTAATACTACAATAGAACGGTAGGTCTTAGCCTACTAGGGAGAGATTTTCACACCGTTATAAAGAATGTTTTGTTCCCCTCTCCAACCAATGTGGGATCTCTAATACTACAGTAGAAAGGCAGGTGTTAGCCTAAATTATAGCTTATTTATGATTTTGTGTTTACTCATTGATTTCTTTTTTTCTTTTACAAATTACCTCTCTTTTATGACCAGTTTCATCTTTTGATATTGATTATTAAATTAATCTTAACCCAAAAAGCATAGAAAATTAAACTAAACCCCACCAGCTACAATGTAAAAGCCTTGAAAAGAAGCATAATAAATGGTAGGCACTCAAGGAAGGGGATGAAATGAAGGGGAACCCTGCAAAATGAAAGAGTACTCTAAATAGAGGAGAGGAGCCAAACACTTGGCAACAAATGAAGGGCTAAAAGGAATCCTTTAGCAGTCACGCTGGAGAGCAACTGTAACAACTCAAGTCCACCGTTAGCAGATATTGTCCTTTTTGGGCTTTTCCTTTCGGACTTTCCCTCAAAATTTTTAAAACGCGTCTGCTAGAGAAAGGTTTTCATATCTTTATAAAGGGTGTTTCGTTCTCCTCTCCAACCGATGTGGGATCTCAAACAACCCTTGAAAAGGGATCCTCTTACCAAAAACATGTAACAGAATTCCCATTAAGCGGAGCACTAAAGGAGCAGCTGAAAAAGGCTAAAATTCAATCTCTTGGAAAGTTACAAACTCGACCCATGTGCTCTGTTCTATTCCCATCCTCTTCTTCTCCATTATTAGTCTTCCTTCCTTCCTTTTTCTGTCAAAATATTACCTCTATGTCTGAAAGTATGCAAACTTCTTACCATAGAGCTTTTTACTTCTACCCTCACCTTTTTGCCTAAGAGTACCAACTTTACCATGCCCTTTTGCCACATATTTGAGTTGGATGATGCTCATTGCTTCCTTCAATGGGCATAGAGAAAAGTCTTAAAGCTGAAGGTTCTCCACTTCAAAAAGGATATTTCGTTTTCCCTCACAAAGATTAAAAGTTGAATCTCGAATGACCATTTTACTGTGAACTTTTGTTTGTAAAACTGTCATTAATTGATAAATCCCTCTTCGTTTAAGCCAAAATTAAGTTTTTTTTGGAACAAATGTGGCTTAGTTCTTGAATTTGTCAGTATTATTAGACAAGAGTCAAGACATCTCTCATTTTCTATCTACTTTCTATGACCAATTCAAAATTTCTGATATCCTTTTACTCTTTAATCTTGTTTTCTCATGTTATTCTTGTTCAAATGTATATCATCAAGGAGCCTCATCTTCTAGATGGTTTGGTTATGGTCCATGTTTATTTAGTTTTTGAACACTTTTGATGTTTGAAATTTTTATTTTTTAAATAAATTAGTTGATTTATTAGATATAATTTCAATTCTTGGATAAGTTTAAAAAAAATTGTAGCTTCAAAAACTAAATTTATAATTTTTTAAGTTTTAAGAATCAAATAGACACATAATATTATTATATCTTAATGGTTTAGAAACTATATTTTGAATTCACTTTTTTTTTTTTCTTTTTTTTTTTTCTCTCCAGAAAGACCTCGAAAGGAAGTAAAACAAAAGAAACAATAAAGGAGGGTGAATGATGAACATTTTTGTCCAAAATAAGCCTAATTTTGTTAAGGTTTCATCAGTTACATATGAAAAATGGGTATTTTTTTTTTGGGGAAAACAAACCATTTTCCCCAAATAATATCAATGATTTGAAGAACACTTGCATTTTAGCCTTTTAAGGCTGCCAGATTATAAAGAAAAAAGCATATGCTATATATGGGCATTAATTTAAATTATGTTCCAGGAACTTTTTCTTTATTGTTCTAAATATTGATTTTATTCTAGATCTTTATTGCATTCAGCCATCTTCGATTTTAATCCGAAAGCCATAGTTCATATATATATATACAAGGTCAAAGATTTGAATACCCATGATAAATATGGGACCAGGAGAGCACATGAACATAAGAGAACAACAGAAATAGAAACTTGATGGGAAATTAGTGACCAAAGTTTTCCTCGTATTAATCCTGATTAATTGAATTGCTAGTTTTAAGGAAATAGGGGTTGTCCGTTTTGTTGGAAGCTGATCTTTGGTTCATGGAGGAACGGCCCCAGAAGCCGTCGCTGTCTATTATTAATCCCAATAACTCCATTACTTGATCTCTCACCCAAAACGGATTGAACCATATCTTGGATTTCATGTTATTCAATTTTTTATCCAGTTTTTTTTTTTGGCGTTCGGTAAGAATCTCCGAGTCTACTTTCAATATATATTGTCTGTTTTAATATGTTATGTATCATCGTCAGCTTCACAATTTTAAAACATGTTTATTAGTGAGAGTTTTCCACGCCCTTTCTAATCATGTTTTGTTCCTTTCTTCGATTGATGTAAGATCTTATAATTCACCCATGGGCCAGCGTCTTTGCGGAGAATATTTCGTTCCTTCTCTCCAACCGAGTCTATTAGGGAGAGGTTTCTACACCTTTTCTAGTAATGTTTTGTTCCATTATTCAACTGATGTGGGATCTCACAATCCACCCCTTGGGGCTAGCGTCCTCGCGTGGAATGATTCGTTCCCCTCTCCAACCAACGTGGGATCTCACAATCCATCCCTTGAAGAGAGGGCTCAACGTTTTCGTGAAGAATGCTTCGTTCCCCTATCCAACTGACATGATATCTTACAACTCACTTCTTTGAGGGCCAGCGTCCTCATTGGCGCACTGCCCAATGCCTGACTTTGATACCATTTATAATAGCTCGAGCGCACTGCTAACGGATATTGTCTGCTTTAGCCTGTTATGTATCGTTGTTAGTTTCACCGTTTTAAAACGCATCTATTAGGAAAGGTATCCACGCTGCTGTTATAAGGAATGTTTTGCGTGGAATCACGCAAATCTAGACATCAATTGGTGTGGTAGAGAGAGAATATCCAAATGAGATGATGTCAAATTTGAAGATGGTGAATCTGTAACAGTGGGAGAACAAGCTCTGTTGTAGCTTGTATGCATGGCGATAGAGATAGAGAGAGAAAGAGAGAAAAAAATGGAGAGAAATAGGTCAATTTGAGGCTGTTTCGAACCATTCAGTACGTTTCATGTTCACCAAAACTATACAGAGAGAAACAAAGTGGGCCATTGCTTGTCTCTCCCACTTTTTGCCAACACAAAACTGAAAAATCATCTATAAAAAGTTGCCCCGACTCATCATCTTCCTTCAACACTCTGTTCTTCCAAATGGGAATCATGGAATTCCATCAAACTTTTCATAATTCCGACCAATTTTCTTCTTCTTGTTCGTCTTCTTCTTCTTCTTCTTCTTCTTCTTCTTCTTCTTCTTCTTCTTCTTCTTCTTCTTCTTCATGTCTTACCACTTTCAAGGGCCATTCTTCTTACATCTCTTCTCTAACTCTCGCCGGAAAATTCCTTTATTCCGGTTCCTCCGACAAGGAAATCCGATCATGGAGACGAAGCCCATCACAAGAATTTGAATCAAATCAAGAAGAGTTTCAAAACAATATGGTTACAGCCGGACATGGCGCAGTGAAATCTCTAGTGGTTTCATCTGACAAACTCTACAGTGCCCATCAGGATCAAAAGATTCGCGTTTGGAGAATCTCAAACGAATTCGATCACCACCAAAAGTACACGCGCTTGGCCACGCTACCGACGCTCGGCGACCGGACGGCCAGGCTTTTGATGCCCAATAATCAGGTACAGATCCGGCGGCACAAGAAATGCACATGGGTTCATCATGTCGATACGGTTTCAGCTCTTGCTCTATCAAACGACGAGTCGCTTCTCTATTCCGTCTCTTGGGATCGGACTCTCAAAATCTGGCGGACTTCCGATTTCAAATGCTTGGAATCCGTCGCCGGAGCTCACGACGACGCCATAAACGCAGTGGCGATCGCCGGCGACGGCGACGTGTACACTGGATCAACGGACAAGAGGATCAAAGTGTGGAGGAAAAACCCAGATGGGAAAAGGCATTTTTTGGTCCAAACACTCGAGAAGCACAGCTCGGGGATTAATGCCTTGGCCCTCGCCGGAGATGGGTCGGCTTTATTTTCCGGCGCCTGCGACAGGGCGGTTCTGGTTTGGGAAAAGGAGGAAGAGACTGGGTTAATGGAGTATGTGGGTATGTTGAGAGGCCATTCGAAGGCCATTTTGTGCTTAGCTGTGGTGTTAGATTTGGTCTGCAGTGGCTCTGCAGACAAGACGATCAGAATTTGGAGAAGGGCGGTCGCCGGAAATTATGTCTGCTTGAGGGTTTTGGAAGGGCATAACGGTCCGGTGAAGTGCTTGGCGGCGGGGGTTGATCGGTGCAACCAGAACGACAGGTCGTTTGTGGTTTATAGTGGTGGTTTGGACTGTGATATTAAGGCGTGGCAGATTTCTGTTCCTCTTGTTTAGATTCAAATTTTTGTGGAATTTTTGGGTTCTTTGAGGAATTTGCGTATATGTTTTATGAAAGAATTTAGTGCATTTTTAGTTTTCAAAGTGTATAATAGATTTTTAATTTTGTATTTAATAATTATTGGACCAAATCAAAATTTTAAATTTAGTATAGCAAATTATTAATTTTTTTTAAAAAAACATTGATATGAAATTTTAAGGAAAAGAAAGTCTTTTTATTTATTTATTATGGATATTATTATTATTATTATTTTTTTGTCTCCCTCAATTGTGTTTGATTAGATAGAATGAAATAAAGTTGGATAAATGTGATCACTCTTGAGAATTAATTATTTATGCTTAAATTGTGAAATTATAGATGTTTTCAAGTGATTTGGTTAGGCGTGTGGACCTAATGTGCTAAAAATTAGACTACAATGTTAGGTTTGACTTATGACAACAAGTAGTGACTTCTTAACGAGCGTAATTGATATAAAGACTAAAGGGAGTTCAAATCTCTTTCGAGAATATTTGGCTCACGATTTTAATCTATCCATTTTTTTTTGTTAGCAATAACAATCGACCTGTATGGTTTAATGCTTCCCTTTCAAATGCTTAGAGAAGCATTAAACTATATTGGAGTTGAATATATTTTATTTATGTCGGGTGCTTTTAATTTGAAAATAAAATTCAATGAATCCTCAAAGTCATAATATATTTGTTTAGTCAACTAAAATGCTAATATTATTGTCCAAAATCGAATAAAAAGTCCAAAACAAAACACAATCAATTTCTTACACCCATAAACCCGTGAATGTTTAACCACAAAAATCGCCTTAAATTAATCATGTGAAAAACAAAATATCATTTTAAATCAATCATGTGAAAAAGAAAAAATTATCATTTTAAATCAATTATGTGAAAATCAATTATTTAAAAACAAATTTATAATTTAATTCCAAGTATACCCAAGTAAGAAAATGAACAAAAAAGAATTCATATTTTTTAAAACTAAATCGCTCAAAAGGCTATCGCTAATAGATATTATCTGTTTTGATCCGTTGTGTATATTGTCTTTAGCCTCACAATTTTAAAACGTATATGTTAAAGAGAAGTTTTTACACTCTTAAATTTTTCGTTCCTCACTCCAACTAAAATAATAACTTACAAAATCTATAATCGGTTAATTTTTGTTTTAAAGAATCAAACAATTATTAAAGAAAGATTAAAATTAAAAAAACCAAAAAAAACAATCCACCATCTTCCAGTTGCAATTACCTAGAAACAAACCCCTTTTAAAAAATTGCAATTATCTAAAAACAAGACTTTTAAAAAAGTTGAAATTCAAAGTGAAATCAGATTCAATCAATGGGTCCCCAATCAATTGAAGTAGTTAATGGGAGCATAACTGAAGATTAAAATGCTAAATACCCAACTAAATGCTATAATAATCATGATTAATATTCTATCAAATGAATGAATAAATGCAACTTGGTCAAGAAACACCGACCCATAATCCAATCAAACAGCCACCCAATTTATAATATATATTCATCAAAAGACATGGATGCAATAAAAGTAAAAAAAATTAGTGCCAAAAGAAGGGAGAAAAAGCTAAAATGATCCCTTTTTTGCAATATCTTTTCAACACTTTACCTTTCTTGTGGGAGTGGGGGGATTCATAAATTAATTAGTTGGATTGTGGGGGGCTCTATTGGTAAAAAGAAATAATATAGGGTATGGACCATAATTAAACTACTAATGCTGACATTCATGCAAATAATTAAAATCTAATTCTTCTTATTATTCTCAACATTTTCAGAGAGAATTTGTCAGTTAATGAAGCAAAATGTTCACATCAAACTAACTTTATAATTTAGCAACACAGAATATGCAACACAATGGGAAGGACTGATGCTGCATTTCATATATAATATGATTAATTATTGAAAGAGGAGCTGACATCAAATGCTACTTTCTAAAGGAAAACAAAGCAAGGAACATAAAATAAGGTAAATTAATAAGGGTTATTATTGTACCGTGCAAACGTGGCAGCCAAATATCCCAATGGTCCACTGAAATATCTTCTCACCTGAAACAATATGTTATGAACAACTAAAGCTCTCCAAAGACTTTGCCTATTGCTTAGCATATTACAAATTTACAGGACGGTCATTTTTCACGTACCAACCTAATTCCCTTTGCTTTTCCACCCTTTATTTGTTTTATGCAAAGTCGGTCAGGAACTCTATAAAATCAACTAATTCATGATTGCTAACATAACTCAAAGATTAAGGCGTTGAAAATTTAAATTCTCACATTCATATTCTTAAAACTAAGAAAAAAAAAATGATAACTGTTTGACTAAGTAACGAAATGAATACACCTTAAATAACAAGTTTAGTCTTTTTTAACTCCAAAGATTGTGTATATTAAGTACAAATTTGAAATTTTAAAATATAAATAGAATTATTTATATAAATTTGAATCTTAAAACTTTCATATATTTAAAAAAAAAATTAGAAGTTCAATGAATAAATTTGTAATTTAAAAAGTTTCAAGGCCTAATAAACACTAACCTTGATTTAAGAACCTATATAAACCTATATCTAGAAGGGAAAAAACAACGTTATCTTATCCTCATCATGAAAACTAAATTGTACACCTACATTAACCCATGGAGGGAAAAGACAATTTATCTGCATTCATTTAATCACTCACCAAAAAGTGATCGCACAAAAGTCACAAAAAAACAATATAAGATAAATGGATGGACACGATTCTTCCAAACAAAACCCGTCTCCTAAAACTAAATGATATTTGCATGCTGCTTGGAATAAACAAGATTATCTCCAACAGTAACTTCGTTACTTTTGACTAAGACGGTGTAAATTAATTTCAAACTTGGCCGTTTAGCTAAAACTCGTCGTCGAATAAGACATGGAATCCAAATTTCTATTTATTAATCAGTTTCTTAACTCAAATCAAGTTATTCTAAATAGCGAAAGAAATCAAGTTGATTAGCAATTTGAAGTAACAGCCTATGCACTTTATACCTGGCGACACCTTTTCCTCCCGGCGAATCTTTCCAGGTTGGGTTCAGCAAGGTTTATTCCTCTGTCCTTGACATAAGAGCAGTGATTAGATGGCAATCAATTTACAGCTTAAAGGTAAGAGGAAAATCACAAAACGTCCATCTTTTAGGATAATCAGAGGTTCTTACCAATAAAATATTCCATAAAGCAACGCCCCCCATGCCTCAACAAGGATTATGGCAAGCAAATGGCAATTGGCAAATGATTGGACATACCACAATATTTTCTAATAATATATTTTAGATACTCTCTAAATGAATAAGACGGTTCATCGTCTTTCTGTCACCAATTTTTCAAAAACTCAATTTATTTAATACTCTTAGGAAAAATAAGAGCTCATACTAAAAGGTGAGGCACATGATAACAACATAGCGCTATATATATATATATTATATACATATGGTCACTAGTAGCAGTATAACTTAGCCACTTTCAATTTGAACTACTGTACTCATTTTTTAGAGGAAAGACAACAACGAGATAGATGAACTTTTAAATGCCTGAAATATCAATCATGTTGACTCACTGAGCATAAATTAAATCAGTAAACAAATAGACAGGCAAAATAGCAAAAGGGAAAGATTTTCACCAATCCACGCACGCACATCAGAATATTTGAGTTACCTGCACTTTCCTTCACTCTGGCCTCCCCGCCCCTTTACACAAGGCTCTTCGGCAATTTTCTTCAACCATTGCTACCCAGGTACTTATATTCAAGATCTAACTAAAGAAAATCTGATTCAACCACGAACACACTTACCATTGTCATGTCTATTTATGGTACTCCGAATGTGATGTAAAGAAAATATCACGGAGTTTTGGTAGACACGCTAAAAGCTAAGTCATTTATACTTTCTTCTGCGGTATTCATTCATTTTTAACTAGAGAAATTGATGAACTTGATGGAGACATGTGGCGGGAGAGAAAAAGAAACAAACACTAGTGTCCTTAAGTGGATGTCGAAGAAATAAAATCAACGTCTAAATTCCAAAGCGGAAGTTGATGAAGAATTTGTTAATACTAAGTTAGTATTAACAAATAAAATTATCAAATACTAAGAATTTGATATTGATAGAGAAACATAAGGTGATATTACTTCAAGGATCAAACTATAAATAAAATTATCCAGTATGGTAGTTGAGAAAATAACTGTAAATCAAAATATTGATAGAGAAAAAGTTTTTTCCACAAGATTACCATATTAAGATCCGGATGCAAATTAGACTAATAACCCGTATATAAGGATCAAAGCAAATCCAGTCAAACCAAACACTAGAATAAAGATTCCGACTGCAGACAAAAATCTAAGCCAAGAAACAAAATCAGTGGAATAAAAATTCACCGGAAGGGGTGTAAGTTCCAAATATTCAACGGTAAATCTTACTGATAGAGTAGACATCACGTTCATATAGATAAGACAACAGAAATTTCCAGCGTCAGAAATTTTCTTGTAGTTTAAGTGCATACTGGAATATCTAAGTGGGAGTTTCTAGAAAACAACCTAGCAATAGGTTAAATGTAGGAGTTCCTTTTCAGGAAGTGACCTCTGTACTATTGTTTACTTTAGAACAATCTTCAAGGACACACAAATCTGTTCATTTTTAATTGTACACATGAGATTATGACATTGCAAGAAGATCAGTAGATATACAAGACAAACACACCTGGGAAAATTTCCGGTAAGGAGGCACCCATCATTTCAATTACCTTTTCTGCATTTGTGATACTTCTGTTCGATGATGAAAGTCCTTCCCCCAAACCAAAGCTATGAAGAGCTTATGTTCAAAATGGACAATATCATACCATTGTGAAGAGTCGTGTTCGTCTAACATGGTATTAGAGCCATGCCCTAAACTTAGTCGTGCCAATAGATTGGTAAATCCTCAAATGTTGAACAAAGGACTCCAAAAGAAAAAGGAGTCCAACCCTCCTCAAAGGCATAGTAAAAAATGATTAAGACTCCAAAGGAGTCGAGCCTAATTTAAGGAATACTCTCTCTATTGGAATGAGACCTTTTGGGGGAAGCCCAAAGCAAAGCCATGAGAGCTTATGCTCAAAGTGGACAATATCATACCATTGTGGAGAGTCGTGTTCGTCTAACAACTTCTTCTGCCGGTCAATACAAAAAAATTTCTAGAATAAATAAGGTAAGATGAACAAGATTATTTAAAATTAAAATCCAGGAGTACCAATTAAGCATGAACTTTCTCATTATGAAGTAGACATATTCCAACTCTAAATATTCAGTTCAGAGAAATCTCCACAAATTAAAAACCAGATTCTTCATTGCATCAATATCACGGAGGGAAGTATACAAGAGATCTGACCAATCAGAAGATTTCTATTTAAAATGGTAGGAAAATAACACAATTACCACAAATCCGCAACGACAAGATCTACATTATGTTTATATCATATATTACAATATTGAGTAGCATTTTTATGTGTACTTCAGATCGACAATCGTAACCTAAACATCCTGATATGCGTAATATTCAGTACTACTTCAGTTATGGAAAGTAAAACAAGAAACTGCAAATAATTGAAAGTGGAAATGAAATCAGCGTAAGATAGAGATCAAGCACCTTGTTCCACCGGAGAAGAGCGTCGACGAACTGATCAAACTAATTTTGTTTGGCGGGAACTTAGGCTTTTGAAATAGAGACATCTCGGCGTATTGCAGGTAATCGTTAGCCGCCTAACGCTGGTTCTGATCGGAAATCGAACGCCGTTGGCTTCAAAAGTGCGGCAAACTGTTCGATACAAGTCCCCATAGAGAACACGCTCACCATCTTCCCGCGCTCTTCGGCCACGCTTTAACAACCCGTTTTCCCTTTGGTATCTTAACGACCTGTCGTCTGATCCGATACACTGTCGACTGGGCTTTTCTGTCTTGGCCCACTTACAGCCCAACTAGTTGATCAAGCCCAATATTCAATTCCGTACAAAAAACTCCAGCCCGGCCCATAACGCCACAAAACCCGACCCAACATTTTTTTTTCAATTCCGTAGATATTGTCTGCTTTAGCCTGTTATATATTGTCGTCAGTCTTAGTTTTAAAATGCGTTTACTAGAGAGAGGATTCCACACCCTTATAAGAAATATCTCGTTTTCCTCTACAACCGATGTGGGATCTCATAATCCACCCCTTCTCGAAAGCTCATCGTCCTCACTGGCACTCTACTCGGTGTTCATCTTTGATACCAATTACAGCAGCTCAAGCCCGCCCACCGCTAAAAGATATTATCCGCTTTGACATGTTACGTAATGTCATAAGTTTCACAGTTTTAAAACGCATCTATTAGGGAGAGACTTTCATACTCTTATAAGAAATGTTTTGTTTCCCTCTCCAACTGATGTGGGATCTCACAATCCACTCCTCCCTAGAGCATAGCGTCTTCACTGGCACACTACTCAGTGTTTAGCTTTGATACCAATTATAACAACCCAAGCCTGCCAACCGCTAGCAAATATTGTCCGCTTTAACCCGTTACGTAACACCATCAGTTTTCACGATTTTAAAATACATCTATTAGAGAGAGGTTTTCACGCCCTTATAAGGAATGGTTCGTTCACCTCTCTAACTAACGTGGGATCTCACAATCCACCCCCTCATGAGGTTCAGTGTCCTCACTGGTACACCGTTCGGTGTCTAGCACTGATACCATTTGTAACAGCCCAAACCCGCTCACTACTAACAAATACTATCTGCTTAAACCCATTATGTATCGTCATCAATTTCACGATTTTAAAACCCGTCTTCTAGAGAAAGGTTTCCATACCCTTATAAGAATATTTCGTTCCCCTCTCAAACCGAACCAAAATAAAAACCACAAAATATTTTCTAGGAATCCCATGAAAAAGAAAACGTTTAGTTAAAAATGGAATCATATATAGTGCCACAAAGGACAGAGCATAACCCACACTTTCTTCTAAGTCATCATGACAACCCAGCTTTTGGAACCCACAAACGCAACATTATTATTATTATTATTATTTTAATTACATACATAAAATAAAAAATAAAATATATAAATATATTAACTCGTGGGCCCTCTCCACCTACAGACACCACCATTAAGGTGAGGAATAATAAAAAAATATGGGCCCAATAGGGCCCATATTTATTTATTTTTTTAACTTTTATTTAAAAAATACCTTTAAATTTAATTTTTTTTAAAAAAAAAATTAAAAATATCTTACGATAATGGGTATTAATGCTATTTTTCGAATTTCATAAATATTTTTTATTTTTTAAAAAGTTAAGGATAATTATGAAATTATTAAAATTCCAAGGGTATTTTTAGGATATTATTGAAAAATTTTAAAAATTTAAGGATATTTTTAAAATAGAGTACCTGTAATTTTCATAAATTTTTTCCCGAAATAAATTTAAATTATTAGTTTTATTGACTACATAAACAAACAACGTCTTGTGGGGGCTATGGAGATTTTATTCTTTTCAATCCTTTTCGGGTTTGAACTTTCTTGGCTTGTTCTTCGTTCGTTCTTTTTTTAATTATATATATATATATATATAATAATTATTATTATTTATTATTTATTATTTATTTTGTTTGGCTATTTTCTTAAAGGTTGTTTGAGGAGATGAGATGTGACCTTAACAAAGGTCAACCATGGGAGTGATTACACTAATTAGGGGAAATTAATTAGTTCAAATAATATAGACATTATGTCTAATCATGAGATTAATTATTTAGAAGAATTACTTTATTCTATATTGTTTAAGAAAATATAATAAAAAGTGCTTTTTAATTATAATTAATGATTTTTTAAAAGGTTATTTCGGTTGAATTTAAAATTTTAAAAATTAAAAATTATAATAGAAATAAATAAATAAATACTTGGAAAATTATTTGTTGAGTGCTCTATGTTGGTCAAAATTGTTATCATTCATTTTGGATTTTTTTTTTTGAAAAAAAAATTATTTTAGTATTTTTAGGAATATATTTCAAATTTTAAATAGTATTTGATAAAATAATAATTTTTTTTTTGTAAAATATTTTTTCGATAATTCGTAATATTACGTCTTATATGTTTATCCAATAATTGAATATCATGGGAAAAGACAAAGAAACGTTTATCGTTTGATCAAAGAAGTATAAACAAAAACAAAAGCATCTTTACGAAATTAATACTATATTGATGTAAACCTTTGCTCGAACGGTAATTTGTCGAACTATTTAGATCTAATCCAGGTTTGTGTTTCGAGGTTGTTCGGAAGGCAACCAAAAATTTATATTGACTAAGAAAAGAGAAGATCGTGATTTATGAACGGGAGGATAATATCTGGATTAGTACGAGATATTTTGAGTGAGACTATAAGAAAGTCGATCGTTGTGGAAATATGGACGGGTCACTCATCCATAGCAATTGGTATTAGGGTTATGCTTCAAACTTGAAAACGTCTATGTGTAATCTTCCAATGACGAACAATGATGACGAGCTTTGAAGAAAGTTGAAAAGGGTTCTAGGTGTCACGGTCATGTTTGTCCAAGGTGTGTTGCTCATGGTTGCATGCCTATTGCATGCCGAAACCCATTGTGTTGTATCATTTTACTGTTTTCTTTTACCGCTTTCATGATGTATAGTATCTTTTTGTATTTTCCAAGTGATAGACCTGAAATGTCTCAAAATGTACTATAGGAGGATTCTTCCTACCCATAGTTATATTCTATCTAAGCCGATATGTTGCCTTTATCGCTTATAGTCTGTAACATTGCTTTCAATATTTCTTTTTAATCTTGTTTTCAAACTTTCTCTCGAAAATCTCTCTGTCTCCGTATTCTAAAAACCTTCTTCTCAAATGGGATCAAAACATCGTCCGGCCATAGGCGACACGATTTCGAGTTGGTTGACTCACTTAGTGTTGAGAGTGAGTGCCACGCAATCACTTGTAAACATCCCGAGGGGGTACGAATATGACACTAGGTATGATTCATGATTTAGCTTTATTGATAGATAGTGTACACTAAAGACGAGTTAGTACGAATTTACACGACATACTTCGATTGGATGAACATATTCGTCATTCCACGAGAAATAAAGTACTAAATAAGTTCACATTTCTTCGGTAAAAGTCTCGTAGTTGCAGCGAAGAATGACACAATCAAATCCGAACAAACAAAACATTGATTTGAATCGTACCATCTCTTAGTAAGAGATTCCTATCGAACACTCCCAGAACTCGTGATGCTCCTAAACCAACCCGGACATACTGATCCTAAAACTTTTGTTCATCAATGATCGATGAACTCATTAACTCACTGACATACCTTCCGATGCAAATTCACAACTAACTGTAAGTCTTCGATCTTGATCCTTTACTAAAATCTTGGGAGCGGTACGGAACGACACGTGGAATCTAATTGATTGTCCCCATGAAGACCGAATATTATTCTCAAATTGATGAATAATTTTGGATTAAAAAAAAGAGAGCCAAATTTGAGTTCAGGTAATTTTTCAGTACACTCAGTCTGTTTATTCTCTCAACCCCTCGAAATTACCACTTCCACAGCAGACAAACTACCACATTCATCCACTTTTTACCGTTTTTTCATTTTTTTTTTATATAAGTTTATTTTTTAAAAAAATATTAATTTAAAAGTCGGTATAGTTTACGTGATATCTCACACCAGTATAGTTTTAAAACTGGGAGACTGACCGTAATACGTAACAGGCTAAATCCGAGTCCTTACATTCCATT